AGGTGAATATGAAAATAGCTCAAGAAAAACAGACAAAATTGCACAATGCTGTATAAACAGCTGCTTGTTGGATTTATCCTGTTGCCTCTGGGAAAGCAGAGGATAGATCCAGGCGTGGTTCAGTGTAAATTTCCTGACCATTCCAGTTTACATCCCATGCATGCTCTGAATATAGGGATTTCAATCCAGAGTCAGGCCAGTGGTCCCTGTAGTCCAGTACCCTGTCACCAAACACTCACAGATGCAGCAGAGGAACCCTGAAGAGGACAGTTATAGAATAAACTGTGGACAGGGGAAACTTTCTTCCTAACCCTGGATAATTAGAGTTGGGTTTGTACCCTGAAGCATGAGGGTTCATCTTCCTTCCAAATGGACTGAAAGAATAGGCAGGGGATATTCTTCTTAAATTGCAGCAAACTGTCCCTCTGTGACAGACCCACTGATAGGGGGGTAGGGCACAGGAGGCAACTGATGATACAAAAGGGCTGGGGGTTCCAGTGCAGCAGGGGCGGTGGCTGGAGCCTCGAGCCCTTTAAATCGCTACCTGAGTACAAGTTGTCCTTGCTATAAGTCCAAGATATGTCCCAAAAACTTGGGACATATAGGGAAACAACTTAAAGCGGGGATTTTTTTCCCTGCAGCTTGACTACCGTTTGCGCAAATTGGGGTTTTTTTGTGTGTGCAACTTAAGAGCAGAGAATGGGAGGACTTATAACAGATCACTTCCTACAAGCACCAGTGAATTTAGTGCAGAACAGATGTATACCAGGGTGACTTATAGCAGGGAAACCCTGTATGCCAGGCTGCATGCTCTGGGTGGCTCTTAGGGATGGGGCAGGAGGAAGAGGGTGTGGTGAGGTCCCGGTGGCCCAGTGGTATGCCTCCAGCCCCACCTCTTCTGCCCAAGGCTACGCCCCTTCCAGGAGCACAGAGCAGGCTCCCCTTCCCCCCCACCTTACCCCGGGGCCTGAGGAGGCTGTTGGCCTTTATCACTGAGCTGTGATAAAAGTGAATGGGCCCAACTGCTGCCTTTTATTAAAGCTACTTTCACAAGTTATCACAGGCAAATGGGGATGATCATTCACAGCAGGTTCATGGGCATCCAGTAGGCGAGGCGGGGAAGGCTCAGCCTTTCCAAACCGCTAGGCATGGCCCTGCCCACACTCTGCCCCCAGAACGCCTGCAGTAGCTGGGCAGGCTGGAGCCATGCACCCTCTTCCCTCCCTGGTGCTCTGGGGCCGGGGAAGTTTGGGCCCTGCACCCTCCTTCTTCTCCTCTACCTTCACCAACCTCCCATCTGTACAAATCCCCCCATTTCATGTTCATACCAATTACTTCTGGGGCCTAGTGGGGAGCGTTGTTCACTGCTGGACAGAGCAACACACTGGTTTCATGGCTGCACTTGGAACTCTTCCTCTTCAACCAGCCAGAGACTGGTGAGAATAGGCCAAGTTTTGGTGGGGGGGGGGAGGAAATACAACAGTCACAAGGGGAGATGCAATTGCTTATCACAGGGCGGAGAACAGCCCATGTCACTAGCTTCCTCCCATGCACTGCATCTCTACACTACCCTTGTGGCTGCTTATGAGTAGCTCTCAAGTTTTACATCAGCACATTTTTCCATCCCTGGGGAAGGCAAGATAATAATGCTTCTCATTTACATAGCACCTTTCAACAGTGGTTCTCAAAGCTCTTTCCAGAGCTGGGTATTAGTTGCCATATTTTACAGATTGAGAAACAAGAGGCACAGAACAGTTAAATGATTCACCCAAGGTCACACAGCAAGTCAGTGGAAGAGCTAGGAACAGAATCCAATTTTCCCAGTTCCTGTGCTCTAACTGCTAGACATCAGTGCCTCCTAAGCACTGCCACTGCCATCACCAGCTCAAGCCTGAGATAGGAAAAAAGTTATGGAGATTCACAGGGGAAAGACAAAAGGCTTAAATTAATTAATCTCTTGAATGAATATCACAGACAAGCAGCGTGCCTTACACTTTTGCTGTGGGTAGTTGGGAGATGGAAGGCTGCTCACCTTTGCATAGTGGACCCTCTGCCAAAGACACACTCATTCTAACAAGGCATTAAATCGTCTTCTTTGATACACAAATGGAATCGGGCCCACTCCCATTGAAAATGATTGGAGCTTCACTTGAGTAACACAGTGAGAATTTGGCCCATGATAGGGGAGAGTTCAGAATGTAAGGTGTGTGAACTCCTGTCCCACTGAAATCAACAGCAAAAATTCCCATAAACAGGGTCAAGATTTCATCCCAGGCATTTGTACTTTTGGAAGAGTTTGCTAATCTTTTTTTTTAATTTCTCATAACATTTCAAAGTCGCCATATAATAAACATTCCTACCTCTCTTCTCTCTCTCTTTCTCTACCACTTTTCATCAATAGAACTCTAAGTACTTTGCAAAGGAGGCAAGGGTCATTATGCCCATTTTACAGATAGAGAACCTGCGGCACTAGCTGGGAAGTAACTTACCCAATGTCATCCAGCAGACCACAGAAGAGCTTGGCACAGAATCCAGGTCTCTTGAAGCTGTTGGCTTTCAGAGGACTGAAGCCTTTGACTATTTTCAGAAGGCGGGTGGATGCATTTCATCAGGTCTCTATGTTGGGAGACGTACCTATAGTTTTAATTTTGGGCTGCTTTTTAAAGTACAGCATTTTATTAAGGCTTTTTCCTTGAATATATTTCTATAGATTTACAGCCTTAACTCCATCTTAGCATTTTTATCTTGGTGGTAATGTACATAAAAGGCCAAATTCATCTCTACTGAAAGAGGATTACATCTGTGGTGAATTTACATTACACTAGATTTATATATATATAATGCAAGCTCAAGAGGTAGGTGATAAACTAATATCAGAGAAAATGAAGTCATAGCAAACTACATAACATTAAGACAGGTAGGAGATGAAGTTACTGCAGTGTATAGATAGGACAGTAATTCATTCTAGCTATAATATCTCCAGGGTATACCTAAAGAAGATGGCCATCTTGGGAACTGTGACCAACCATCTTGGCTCTGTGATCTTGAAAGTTCTCATTTTCTTTTTCCACCTTTTTCAGAAAAGGTTCTCCACCATATTTTATATGAAGGATTAATTTATAAATAGTTGATACATAACTAATAGGTGTAATAATTAATTAAAGGTGACAAATGATCAGAATCCAACAGGTCAATAGGTTGTTTATAACCATGGCTTACTGCTATTTACTGATGTGCTTATCGGGGATGGAATGTTTAACTGGTTAACCGATTCAAGCAGGCCTGGGGGCCACTCCAGCCCAGCTGAGCTGGAGCAGCCCCTGCCTGCTGCGCACCTGCTGCAAATAAAGGCTGCTCCAGTCAGACTGAAGCACCTGTCCATGGCGGGCCCTCAGAGGCTGCTCCAGTCTCCACGAGTTAACCAGGTAACTGTTCACATCCCTAGTGCTTATAACAATCTATACCACATACTAGTTACGTCTTATCAGAGCTAGTAATAATTTTTAACACTTTATAAGCTACACTGGAGTACACTGCATTGGAGTCTTTTAGGAGTTTTGGATTTTAATGCTACTAACGTTCCAAAGAAAGCTGGGATGCGATCATAACAGAAAAGGAAACGGGCAGTGATTAGCTGTAATCTCATTAACTAAATTAATCAATCCTGTACTAGAAACTAGCTATTAAAAGAGAATTTTCATAAATAGCACTCTTGCTATTTCAGGATCTCCAATCAGTGAATGGTGCTGGAGTCAATCACTAGCAGATATTTCATCCCACTGGTTGGGATATTTTATAGTACAGGGAACACTATAGTATAGATTGAGGGCCAGTGCTGCTCCAGTGGACTTAAGGCTAACTACGGAGTTCAGAGCTGGCCCCACAATGCCCACAGGAATATTTTTTTTTCCCAAATGCAACAGACCAATGTTCAAAGTCTCTGCACAAGATGATGGTCATGATGCATGTACAGATGGTTTGCACAAATATCATAAAGGTCATTAGTTTCCTTTTACATGTAACATCACTTTGGTCAGAGAACAGGCAATGGGATTTGGGACACTTCATCTCTGCCTCACTAGTTCAAATCCAGCCCATATGGAATCCAGCTGCCATCTGGATGGTTCTTTGGTGGACTCTGTGAAAATGAGCTTGATGGTCCCAGACCCGTTTTAGTGCACCATCCATTTTAGTTTCCCACCGTTTCCCTTGGGAGACTAGCATAGAACCATAGAGCTGGAAGAGACCTCAGGAGGTCATCAAGTCCAGCCCCCTGCTCTAGGCAGGACCAATCAATCCCAACTATTCCCCAGAAGAACAGATCTCGCCATTAAGAAGTTCCCCCCGATAGCCAACTTTCATTCTCCTTAATCTCATTCTAGCCCTCCTGGGTACAGGTCTGCTAACCACCCCCAACAATTCTTACCAAAATGCAGTTACAGCCTTATGCATTGGAGTCATGTCCTCTAGTCATCCATCATTCAATCCAGGAATTCTTTTAATCTTCCCTCAACCAACCCATTCCTCCACACCCTTAATCATTCTTGCTGGTTTTCCCTTAATTCCGGTCTCTCTTTTTCTGGTGTGGAGCTGCATTGGACACAGTCGAGCATTCTAGGTGTAATCTTATCAGTGCTGGATTAGATGCTTTGGGACAGGAGGGCTACGTCTACACTGGCATGATTTTCCAAAAATGCTTTTAACGGAAAACTTTTCTGTTAAAAGCATTTTCGGAAAAGCACGTCTAGATTGGCAGGATGCTTTTCCGCAAAAGCGGAAAAGCGTCCATGGCCAATCTAGACGCGGTTTTCCATAAAAAAGCCCCAAACGCCATTTTTGCGATCGGGGCTTTTTTGCGGAAAATAGTACTGTGCTGTCTACACTGGCCCTTTTGCGCAAAAGTCTTTCGGAAAAAGACTTTTGCCCGAACGGGAGCAGCATAGTATTTCCGGAAAAGCACTGACGATCTTACATGAGATCGTCAGTGCTTTTCCGGAAATTCGAGCGGCCAGTGTAGACAGCTGGCAAGTTTTTCCACAAAAGCAGATGATTTTGCGGAAAAACTTGCCAGTCTTGACACAGCCGAGGTGTATTTAAGAAGAGCATGTGTACGGGTTGAAGTCCTCTGAGATGTGATCCCTTTAGCATGCCAGCAGTGCGGTGTTGGGGAACCATGCACTGCTGCTGTGCAGAGCACCGTATTGCTATTTTAAAGCACTGGCTAGAAGGTGTTTGCTCAGAAAGCAGATTTTGAAGGTGTGGGGGGGCTAACACATACAAAATGACCGTCCTGCATTTACAGTGTTGAATAAGGCACAGAGCAGAGTAACTATGGGATCACATGGTCGGAGTGGTCACTAAGATTATATCCCCTTAGCTAGGAATGGAGGGCTGGCAGGGATAGGCCATCATAAAATGCCCATTTTGGGGTGTGTTTTTTTTAAAGTAATACCTAGCTTTTATCTATAGCTTTTCCTCAGTAGATCTCAAAGCATTTTACAAAGTGGGTTAGCAGAATTACTGCCATTTTACAGATGGGGAAACTGAGGCACATAGCAGCGCTATAACTTACCCAATGGCAGAGCCAGAAAGAGAACCCAAGTCTCGTGGGTCCCAGTCCAGGGCTCTCTCCACTAAGAGATTTTTCTGTTTGTTAACCCCTAGGTTACAAACAGGACAGGGCTAGAGTAAGGTGGCAGGGCTATTCCAGAGAAAAGGCTGTATAAGCCATGCTGCTGGTGAACTGGTGCAAAGAGAGACCCCTGGGTCTTCTCTGCAAGTTACCTCCGCTTTAGCACTGACACACAATCTTTTTTCAATGGCCCAATCTGCATATGGGCATCTACGCTTTCAAGGAAAAAAGCTGGTTTGAGGTTATACGTAAACAGCGACGGGAACTGGTGGTTGATCTTATTCTGGAAGGCGTCAAAGTGGCCTTTTTTGAAGCGGGCGACCTTGAGCTGTTGGAGGCATGTCATCTTGGCATCCTTAACCCCGAAGAAGGTGAGTGCCTTTTCCGAATACTCCAGGTACACCCCGATCGTGTGAAAGAAGGGCTGCTGGATGACCGATTCGAAGCCGCCATACCAAGCCACGTAGTTCTGTCCATTCCACTGCAGGCAGCAGGACTTCTCATTCCTCCCGAGGCGGCCTCTGTCGTAGGACTCCCGCGGGTTGAAGTCCTCGGCAATGACACCGATGCTCACCCAGCCGTCGATGATTTCTACCTCCCAGTAGTAGTTGCCCCGGTTCATCAGGTTCTCGCCCAGCACCTGCTCGCAATTGATGAACCTGCTTGGGCTCTCAGGGTAAGCGATGGGGTTCAGGACTCGTTTGGCCCCTTTGGTTCCAAACAGCTGGAGGAACTTGTCTGCAGTGTCACTGTCCAAATCGATGATGAAGGCAACTGTGCAGAAAGGGACAAGCCAACACAAAAGAGAGTATCAGAACAGAGCGCCCTCTCCCCTCCTTTAGCCCCCTGTGGTGAGTTTCACTGGCTAATGTTACCATGTCTATTTCTGTATTATTGCTCTCCAAGCTCCAGGCACGTTTACAGCTATTTAAAACAACCACTCTCTGGGGCCAGGCCATGCCTACCCCCTGGCCCCATGGCAATAAACACCATCCGGCTAGTGACCCAAATGAGTAAAGCTAAAGAGATGCATCTAGGGGTATGTCAACACTGCAAGCAGAAGTATGATTGCAGCATGGCTGGGGTATATCTGCACTAGCTGTACTGTGGCTAGCACGGGTATCCGCAGTAGCATAGATGTGATGGCATGGGCTTCCACAGGCTAGTCACTAGAGCAGAAGCCTGCTGGGGAGCCAGGTTGCTGGCCCATGCTGTTATTAATCGGGTGAGCCAGAGAAAAGCTAGTGGGGGATGCTCACTCATGCTACAAACACTTTCACTTGCAGGGTAGCCATACCCTTAGTACTGCATCCTAATGGCTACTGAATGGATCAGGACTTTGACTGATTATCAGGGGCTTTCCAAAGCAGACAGCCCTGCTCTGAGAACTTCCCACCACCCCGCCAGGA